TGAAAGGGCGGCACGGTGCTCGACTGGATTGCACGTCCGCCTCACAGTGTAGAGATGCAGGGTTCGATTCCAACTCCGGCCTTCCTGTCTGGAGTTTGTATTGTCTCCCTGTGCCTGTGTGGCTTTTCTCCGGGTATTCCGGTTTCTTCCCACATTTCAAAAACATGCATGGCAGGTTAATGGAAAACTCTAAATTGCCCCGAGGTGTGATTGTGAGCGTGAACGTTTTTTTGTCTATGTGTGCTCTGTGATTAGCTGGCAACCAGTTCAGGGTGTACCCCCCCGACTGCCCAAAGACAGCTGAGATCAGCTCCAGCACACCCCACGACCCTTGTGAAGATCGATGCATTGTGGTGCTACGGACACGCCCTTCTTCCACCCTGTTGCATTAATAGCAATTATCGCCATCCAGCATGCATACTCGATCTACAGTCTACTTCATTGCAGGTGTACCTAATATTGTATCTATCAGACAAAGAATTGACGCATTAGCGCCATCAAAACTGTGAATGTTCCACATGGATGACTGAGTGTATGACGGCGGGTGTTGACAGCTTGGTGATCTCTGGTGGTGGGGGGCAGAGGGAGGCACACCACTTTACAGTTTGACTGGTTCAGTGGAGCGAGAGTTGGATCCGTCACAGACTGCACAGCCCCCACTCAGAGCTGAGGGTTTTGTTCGCCCCTCTATAATAAGCGGAGCACTCTTCATTTCGACACCTTTTCCCCCCTTTTTTTTCCTCCCTGACAAGCCAGTAGACTGTGGAGCCCTGTCAACATTAGTGGTGGTGCACGTCTGCTAACAGTGCGCACAATATATGTAAAACCGTATACTACAAGAATTCAAATTACCGCCCCCCCCCAAAAAAAATATTGCTCAAGGATTGAATGAAGGAGGTAAACAAATTGTACATAAAAGTGCGAGAAAACCAGATGGATTTAAAAACAAGAATAATTCATGATTTTCAATTTTACAAGAAAAAGCCAGAATTTCACAAAAAAAATTAAAAACTTGTAACTTTTTGAGAAAATGGGGTAATTTTTAAAAGCATGTCATGACGTTAGGTGAAAAAACAAAAGAACAAAAGAAAAATATTGTGATATTAAAAGACAAAAAAAATAAAGAAAAAAAAGCCCTTGCAGTACCATCATAAAACAATGAAATAAAATGTCACAATTTAATTAATAGTTTCATCCATCAGAGGGTTGCGGGGAGCAAGCTAAAAAGAAGTGTCCGCAATGGACCAAAAGCATTTGCCAATTGCCAAAACAAAGTAGAAGAAGAAATTGTAGAAGTAGTAGTAGTCATGGCCACTAATTCGTGACAAATCCCAAGTTTAGCATGCGGTTTCCACCCTGGCAAGGATTTACTACCAAGTATTTACAGCACCAAAAGGCACAATAACCGACCCATATTTCACCAGTGGCCACAATGTGACGTGGGATTCAAGTTAAGGTAAGCCATTTTAAGATAAAAAGAAAAAAATGTCCGTACTCAGAAGCAGAAATATTGAATCCAACCAGAACTTGTTTGCTACTGTCAACACGAATCGAGCACAAGGGTTTTGAGCGCCAGTCCGAGCTCTACTTTTGGTGCATACAAGTCACACCTGAATATAAATCGCAGGACCATCCAAGCTATTGACGAAAAGTGTGATTTATATTCTGAAAAATAACTAATTTTGAAATAATAATTTGTGATATTGCAAGAAAATGTCACGTTGAAGGAAAAATTCCAAATTTACGATATTACGGAAAAAAATATGAAAAAAAAGTTAGATTTTTCCTGAGCTTGTTAGTACTGTAATAATATCGTGATGTCACACGAAAACAAAATTAGAGGCATATGCCTGGTTGTCATGGTTAGGCATCCTTATTTAGGTTTGTCTGCATGTGTGTGCACCCTCTCATTCAATCACTGTTATGTATATTTCACTTTTATCATGTTGTATATATACGACATCATGCTCTACTTTTTGTAATGTATTATTCCGTTTCTGGAGACTCAATTATCACTGAGGGTTCCTTAAAAGGAGGCGGGTGTCATGTCATACACAACAGGGAGATGCTGTGTGCGTGTGCGTGTGCGTGTGCGTGTGTGTGTGTGAGCAATACAAGAAAGGTGTGTGTGCGTTAAGACCAAGGATTTCTGACGATCACAGCCTCGATTCTCCTCCCGAGCATCTGAAGACAGATGGGGGTCTTGGGGACGGGGGTGCGTTCAAAGCGGGCGGGCGAGCGAGCGAAGTGTCGACGGTGCGTCAGATCCTTTCACGTTTGAAAAGTTGATTCGAGAGCAGAAGAAAGCCTTAGTGAAAAAAAAGTAAGGGGTCCAAACCTGCTGTCTGTTAAAAAAAAAAAAAAAAAAAAATCACCCACTTCAGCAGGCTTGGAGCTAGGAGCAGATCCCCGTTGCTATGTTCCTTCAAAGAAACAATCTCAATCTTTAGCAATGATTTTTTTATGTACTTTTTTTTTAATCTCTGAATACTCAATAAATCTTCCTTTTTTCAAAATCTGTGAATCGTTTTTTGGCTCCTTTCTTGAATCCTTGTCAATCTGAAATATACTGAAAACAAAATCGATCTTCGATAGATACCAATGGATATGCAATCGTAAATGTTGACCAGATTTAACATTTACGATTGTCTTGCGATTGGTTGGCAACCAGTTCAGGGTGCACCCTGCCTACTCCCCGAAGACAGCTGCCCTAGCAGGCACGCGTCCCATGTGAGGATAAGCAGATTAGAAAACGGATGGATGGATGGACGGATGGACATTTACGATTGTCGGCCTCAACTGTTTTCTGCGCATATAGGGTGGGGGGAAAAAGACTGAACACACCCCACACCATAGGATAATCGCTCAAAGTAATCTGTGGAGACAATTGGACCTTTGCAGAAGGGTCGAATCGATCTCAAAATGCAAGATTATAAGTAAGCGCGCGCCACGCTTTAGTTCGATTAATTTTGTGGCTTTACACTCGTCATATTATGATTTTTGGCTTCCTCACTTTACGACAGAACTTATTCGTCATGTCACAACTTCATTCTGCTAACTTCTTTCGACAACTAAACAAAACAGTCTGCTGTGAGCCCGCAAGCACTCACATCTTCCCTGCTGGTCAAAATAAAAGGAGCCACGTGATACTGAAATTCCAATACGGGAGGAAACGGGACATATACGCGACGGGATGACGATAATTGTCTGGTTTGGGCCGAGCAATGCCCGGCCGGCGAGTAAAGCTCAATTACCAGCAGCCATTATTGTACTGTGCCTGTTGCGTGGAGGAATGGCATTACAAAAGGTGTGCCTGGACAAAAGCGAGCAGCGGAGGTGGGAGCCCCCGTCACGCTGCTTTTTGCCATCAGCCCTGACAGATGGCGTAGGCCCCGTCTGAGGCCACAGCAATGAGTGTCTTCAAAGGGCTTGTGTAATGTGATGCTGCATCAGAGCCACATAAACACTGACACACACACACACACGCGCGCGCACACACACTGACACACACACACACACACACACAACAATATAAAATAAAAATTAAAAAAAAAGAAAACATCAGGTAGGCTTGTTTGTTTGGTTTCTTGTCCTTTGAAGGAATCAAGTGATGAATGTTCCTTTTATCCCGACTGAAAAACCAACACATTTGTGTTTAAAGCTCTGCCCACCAAAATGACTTGTTTTATGATTCATCTTCCTTTTTTTTTTTTTAACTCATTTTATTCTGTGTGCATGACTCTCAGTTTTCTTTTACAGTATTTGTATGCACAACTTTTAGTGTTCGAGTTTGGCATTGATATCATAAATATCATGATATTAATGATTTTTATGATTCTCACCATCTCTTTCCCCCTCGTTCAGGATTTGTTTTTTCCTCACTTTGTGGCTACTTCATTTAAAAAATAATTTGTCTTTACCTAGTCATTGAAAAAAATTTATTTATATATTTATATATATATATATATATATATATATATATTGATCTCCATTGTCTTTTATTTACTAATATATAAAATCCTGAGTGATTTTCTGTGATTTCTGAACTAGCGGGTCAATTAAAAACAACAACAATAACAACAGCAACAATTAGCTTTTTCAGCAATTTCAATCTGAACCAACAGTAATTTGACTTTGGCCATGTTGTAGAGTTCGGAAAGGGCTTTCTGGGAAAAAATGCTTGCGCATTGGGAGTCTGTGATTAAGGGCTGTATAAATAAACTTGCCTTGACTACAATGGATAGCTAAAGTTGCACATCTATCACTGGGGTGGACAGATATTCAGAAGCTGTTTTCTTTGAAATGGATGAGTCTTGACGTGAAAGTTGCACATCAATCACTGCAGTACACAGCGACTCTAAAGCATTTTCTTTCTACATGCTGAGTTTTGAAGGCGAGGTTGAGCATCAGTCACAACTGTAGACAGCTAATCAAAAGTTTTATTCAATCCATGCGAGTTTTGATTTGACAGAGTATGCGATGAGACACGAATTGATGCACAACTGATGTACAAATTAAACAGTTGTCCATTGTAAACATAAAAAATAAAAAAATAAAACAAACGTTAACAGCTTTTTTTTCATGAATGTGGGAATTGATTTTACATGTTCAAAACAGTGAATCTTGTCCGGTCGGGACCTCAGCAACGCTTAAAACCACTTGACCCTAGAATTGCCCCCGGTGGTGATTTAAATCGTGGTTTGCCAATAAGAACGACAAAGGTTGAAGGTGAGTTGTCTATGTGTGTGAGGGTCAATCGCCTGGTGTGCAGATGTAAGTTGTCGACTGTACGTTTTGCCCGATTGCCTATTTCATTCGCATTCGGCCGTGTTGCTCTGTGTGCAGTGGGATTTGGTCTTATGGGCTTGAGTTAGTGTTTAATGTAAGGAATTACAGTTGATGGTTGAAGTTAGGTTTTGTGACAAAAGGTTAGGGTTTAGTTTATGCTGTTCGGGTTTGGGACAAGGGTTGCAGTTTCACGACATCAGGACGGAGCCTACCTCAACTTTTGAAGCTCCCGGGGGCACGCGTAGGTGACGGAAAACACACGAAGTAGGATTTTTGTAGCGTCATTCCGCTCCCTGGTGGCGAGAAAATAAGTAACCTCCAAGCGGCATTGTCCCCGCCTCGCCACTCAGTGGCGACCGAGGATGCTCTTCCGCAGAGCTTCCTGTCTGCTATGAGACAGCCCAAAGTCGCCCCTAGTGACGGTACTGCCTGAACAAAATACAAACAATGGGAAAGAAACACAAGAAACACAAGTCGGACAAACACGCATATGAAGGTATTTGATCAATGTATGTCTTTAACTCCTTGCAACTCAAGGGATTATTTTTCTTCGTCGTTTTTGTTTAAATACTTGATGGTCAGGCGCGAAGGAACGGTCATATATTTCACCGAGGACTTAGCTTCGATGCTAATATCATAACCTAAACTAATAACCACACATATGTGATTATCCTAAACTGAATGCTGAAATATGATTTTTAGATCAAAACTTCCCGATGTGTATATGATTGCTCTTAGTCTGCCAGCTAGCTAGTTAGCGTGTCTCTCTGGGCTTTTGCCGTTATCTGTCCAGCGTTTGTCGGGCTATGGTTGTCGTTGCCTAGTAACCGCCGCGTTTCTATTTTATGATATAACATCGTATGTTGCTGAAATGAAGAAAGTTCACCAAAGCTTTTTTTCCAATAATGTCATTTGTAGAAGAAAAAAACAGATGTTTTATTTGAAGACCATATCATCCAGCACTTGCCTGTCTCCCATTGTTGTTTGTGCAGAATATGCAGAGAGACCGCTCAAGCTGGTCTTAAAAGTGTCTGGCAATGAGGTGACCACGGGGAGCTCCAGCCGGGACACTTTTTACGATGACCAGTCGCCGGACTGTGATAAGGCCAAAGACAAGAAGAAGAAGAAAAAGAAGGACAAAGAGAGGAACTGTGGCACACCTGAAAGCGACAAAGGGAAGAAGAAGGTAATGAAGCATCTTTTTTCTTGGTGATTTTTTTTTAACTGGGGTTTAATTGGGGTTGTGATGGTAGGTGATCAAAAAGAAGAAGGGCCACGATGGGGATGGAGAAGACGAACGGGAAAACTGCAGGACTCCCATCCGATCAGAGCTGGATAAACTGGAAGGTACCTTAAAACAAGCATCAGTCTTTACAGTTCATTATGTTATTATTATTATTATTATTATTATTGATTTTATTTTGTTATTGACATCTTCAGCAGAGAAAGAACAAACACCCCTACAGGAAGCGGCGAACCAGCTCATCAGACAACTTCAAAGGTATGCCACCATTTTGTCGACACACTCTGATGGTTATTGCTCACAACTACAGCAGTATCTTAACCTTCGGGCGCCCAAAATTGGCAGTTTTTCACGTTTTGTGATGTTGCCTGGTCAATTATTTTGCTTTATGCAGCCATATGCAAGCATTGTATTAACTGTCTTTTGCTGCAGGGAAATTGTGTGCTACTTGTGTGAGTCTATTACTTGATAGCGACACTGCTTACGTTTAAGATTCTGCAGACATAGTACGTCAAATAACTAAAGTATCAAATGTATCTGTGTTTTAAGTTTGAGAATCAATCTTAGTGGTATGAGCGGTATTGACAACTCAAACCTTATCGATCCCCTACGAGCCGGCGTAATGGCGGTCTCATCACAGCATTTTGGTGTTCTTTTTGTTGTACTCTGTGGAATGAATTAATGGCGTTTTAATTCATTCCGTGGGGAATGTACGAGTGAGCTTGGTCACAGAATGAGTTAAGTCAAAGTAACCACTATTCTAATCTATGTATTAATTATGTCATATGATTTTTGTCATGGACAGGAAAGACCCGAGTGCGTTTTTCACCTTCCCCGTTACAGACCTGATCGCTCCGGGCTACTCAGCCGTCATCAAGCAGCCCATGGACTTCAGCACTATGAAAGACAAAGTCAAGAAACAAGACTACACTTCCTTGGACGAGCTCAAGGTAGGAGCGTTTGTTAAGTATGCACTACAAGTTCATGGGAATATTAAAATAATGGACCCTTTTTCATGATGGTAAAATGACAGACTCCACATTTATTTAGGTTATTGTGCCCCCTGCTGTTACATTTGAGAGTTGCATTGAGTGGCAGGAAGTGGTTCATGTTGATTAACTCAAAAATGGTGTTCATCAGCGATGGATGTGTGGGCAATAAAGGCTGTTGAACATTGGTCGACCCGTCAAGTCTTTCTAAACTAGGAAGAAAACCTTCAAGAAGCAGTTACACTGACTACGACGATTTCGCCTATCGTAGGTTCTTTTTGGAACGTAACACCCACGATAAACGAGGGTAAACACTAAAACGACAGCTTTACAAATATTTTTTATTTTATCTTTTTCCAAATTTATTACAAATTGTGTGTTGAAGACAGAAGTTGAAGAAAATATTCCTGTCATGTTTTTTTTTTTTCCATCAACATCAAAAAGTTAACAAAATTCAGGACAGTTAAAGTTCAGGACAGCATGGTAACAATTTTTCAACATTCCCAAATTTCCTACTTTTACCACAATTCTTCATTTTTTTTCATGTAAATAAACCCCATAAAAATGATAGGGGGGAAATTTGATTAATTTAACTCATCCTTCCACAATACTCAAACGATTCAAAACCATTCCAACTTCAACATTTTCATAAAATTCAGGACATCTTGGATACAATTTTTCACATCCCCAAAATTACCACCTGACAACATTCCAAAAAAAAATTTTGACATATTTCTTTACCTTCACCTTTCACCTTTTTCAACTGGTTCAAACCTCATTAGCTCACACAGCTCATCTTGGGATGATCAACATTTTTAGTATAGAAACACTTTCCATGACAAAATTTCCAAATGAAGAGATAAATTGTAAAAATCTGCCTCAGTTATTTAAACAAAGCTTTTTGTTTTTTCAGTCTCATGTTTAAAATAAATACATACGGTAACTTAAATGAATTGCACAGGATTTTAGTTCATCTTTGCAATTTATACCAAAATTGCATTCTCCAGTTGTCAATGTTGTCATTGACTTCAATGTTGCAGATTGACTTCAGGACAATGTGCGAAAACGCCATGGCGTACAACAAGCCCGAAACCATCTACCACAAAGCCGCTCGGAAGCTGCTGCACTCAGGCATGAAAATCCTCAGCAAGGTACACAAACGGGATCCACCACACTGGGGCAGCAGAACGCTTTCCACGCTTTACGCCATTCCTCCGCCTACAGGAGCGTCTGGAGAGCCTGAAGCAGAGCATTGAGTTCATGTCCGGTCTGGAGCCATCTGACAAGGCCACCCGGAAGTGCCAGGCTCAAGGACTGACCTGCCTGGTGACCAAAAGAGAAGCCAGCACCGAGGGCAGTGAGCGCTCGCAGACCCCCGGCACGCCCAGGTTCCCTTCAACCTGTTCCGACGACTTTTCTCTGACCTTTTATCTTACAACACTCATTATCTGCCGGAATGTTATTTTTTTATTAGCTCCGATTCCCCCTTTAAACGCTTGTTGCGCGAGGCCGCAGACAGAGAACGCCAGGAATGTCTTTTCAGCGTGTCCGGTCTCGTTCTGTGACGTCTTTGTGTGCGTCTTTGTCGTTCTGCTGACTACCAAAAACACATGTGACGCCAAGTATCAAACCGGCAGGTGTGCAGAAACATCTTTCCCACCACGTTACACTGAATTCTTCAGTCATTTACCACCGCTGCAGGAACGGGATTTACAGGCGCACACTTCGGAAGTGGAATGATGTCGACAGCCAAATGCCAACATACTGTTAGTTTGTTCACAGCTACAATGCTAGCAACCTGCTGACACCCGTGTCATCTAATACAGGTTGATCCCATACAAATTGTTGGAATCTTGCCATTCAACCATAGAAACTGAATACAATTTGGGTGGGTGCGAGCACGCTCGACGTTCGCAAGCTAGCATTCTGCTTGTAAATGGTCATGTTCTTTGTATTTTAAGTGTTTTGCAATCACAAAAGAAGTCCGAATGATTCACATTGTACTCTGAGCAGACTGAGAAGTAGCACAGCAAACCAAAGCCTCTTTTGTCGCCTTTCATTTACGGGCAGACCAGACAAGGACGCCAAGGAAGAAGAGGCTGAGAAAGAGCTTGAGGAAATCCGCAAGGTCATCGAGGAGTCTGGGGGGAAACTGTCCAACCGAGTGCTGCAGTGCGACGTGAGCAAACATGTCTGACTCAATGCAATGAATGCCTTGATCGAGGTCTGTCTCCATTTTTTCGATTTCTCCCACAGTTGGAGTTTAGCAGGCAGAGGCAGTCAGATGGCTCCACAACTCTGGCTTTTGTCAACCCAGCCGATCCGTCAGCAGGAGGTAAACTCATTAAAAACAACGGCGGTGATACTATGGCATTTCTTGATCAAAACACCTCAGACAAGCATCCACTCAAATTCCTTTGCTGTCGTGCATAAGCTGCTTAAAGCAAATAGAGGGCATATTCGCAAGACATCGAGGATGTTTAAATCCCATTCCAGACAGAGCTCACATACAGAAAAGCATAAGTGGAATATTGCAGCAAAAGTGGAATATTGCCACAACTTTACATTTTGAATCGGATATTTAGCTGTGTCAGCGACAGGCTCTGTTGCAATCTAAAGAAAAAAAAAGTCTACAACAATAATTGCTTTCAACACACCCGCGTGGGAGAAGGGACTGTCAGGTGCTTAAAATTAAATAAAGAAACCACCCCTTGTTCCCTCCATTCCCGGCATTCCTGTACACACAAAACAGCAGAAGTGTCACATCAGAGCCGAAACAAATCATTCTGAATTTCTCTGCCTTTGCCTTTAACTTCGAACCCCTTTCATGTGATCGCTTCCACAGAGGCGGGATACTGCAGCGTCAAGCTCGGCATGATGTCCACCCGCTTGCAAAGCGGCGTCAACTGCCTCCAGGGCTTCCGGGAGGACAAGAGGAACCGCATCACCCCAGGTACCCCCTCAAAAATCTACTCTTAAATTCTCCACTGAAGCTGACACAAAACCATCATGTCCACTTCTCAGTATCCTACATGAGCTATGGGCCGTTCACATCATACGCGCCCACCTACGACTCCAGCTTTTCCAATGTAAGTAAGGATGACTCGGACCTCATCTTCAGCCTCTACGGGGACGAGTCTAGCCTGCAGGGCTCAGACAGGTCAGTTTGTGCTTCCGTAGCAGAAGCATTTGAGTCGAGTACCGTGACGTGAACCTTCTTGATAATAATGAGCACAAAGTGTTTGTGTGACCGAGCGAGATTGTATGACTTAACTGACTATCGTATAACTTGCTTCACACAAGAAATGACTTGACTTGCTCGATTTGGACCGCGTTAACTTGGGCCTTGCATGAATCTTGATAAATGAGATCAACACGTGTGGTCAGCAGCTTGTCGGAGTTCCTGTCCAAGTCAGATGAGTATGTGTACAAAATGGCCGACAACCTTCTGGACGCCATGACTAATGGCGAGCATTCGAAAAAGCTGAAGGAGACCGAACCAGTAAGCCTTTGCCCCTGTTTCTTTTAAACACTATGTCCTATTTAGCTTCTCACAACAGGAACTTGATTGTGTTTGCGTGTGCCCGGCAGGTGGAGGAGTCTTCCCAAGAGGAAAAAGCTGACGCAGAGGTGAGTCAAGTGTGTTTTTGGATTCAGAGGGTCCACGCGCCTGTTCGCCACCTCTCACATTCCAGTGCAAAATGTCAGTGAAAGTGGAGAGGGAAAAAAAAAAAAGAGCAGAGCCTCACCCACACGTCATGCTTGGAAGTCAAAGCGCATGTTCTATTGAGCAGCTGTGTCAACATGGCGGCCGCTCACTGTGATCCAAATGGAAACATCTTCAAAACACAGCCAGCCGAGACCCTGGAGGGGAATTTTGTGTTTTCATTTGCCGCCTGCTGACTGGCCACTGACAGCGCACACACACTTAGTCTGTATTGTTTGCCATTCTTGGCCTCCCTCCAGTTAACTCTCATCCTCTCAGCTCACCAGTGACAGCTTATTTCACGTATACATTTCTGCAAGCAGGGTTGCCTGTGAAATCTCTTCAAAAGGGGGCTGCCGTCATCAGGTTTATAGCCAGTCATCAAACTTTGCTGCCATGCTGAACAAACTCAAATATTTATACCTCAATGTCGCACATTAGTCTAGTATATGTGGTTTAAATTTGGTGATGATCACAAGAAAGGTCTGAAGAAGTCGTGTCTGAAAAAGCACATGAAGTCTCATTTTATGCCGTTTCACAGGCCGTTTGTAGAGGCCCTTTAAAAAACAAATCGTAGCGATTTTGTTCAAATGCTACCAAAAGTGAAACATGAGTATTAGCCAGATGGACGATGCTAGTATATGAAACCAATGAGTTTTTGTCATCGCATGTGGGCAAAGCCTGGTGGCAACGATATATGACAAGACATAAAACAAAGCCATTCAGAGACTGTCCTTACTGCCAGAAATGTTGAACAACTCTGCTAACATGGCTGCCTCCGACTAAAATGGCAAACTTCCTGCGTGTGTATCATCAGTACCTTCACGTTTCCTCAGTTGTCCCACATGGATTGCTTATTTTTCCTACTTTAGCCACTCCGATCTGACGCTTCGGGCTGCAATAAAACGGAGCCTCTTGCTGCTGAGGAGCTCTCTGGAGGTATACACACACAAAAAAAAAAAACCTTCAACACAAGAGACATGAATCAAAGAGAACCAGTTGTGCCTTATTGAGGATCAATAACATTGATTGTGTGCATTTGTGTTGTCGTGGCAGCAGACGTGCAGCCGAAACTGGACGAGACCACGCGGCTCCTGCGGGAACTGCACGAGGCGCAGAGGGAACGTCTGAGTGCCAGACAGCCGCCCAACATGATTTGTCTGCATGCGCCCAACGCTAAGGAGCTGGAGCTGGGTAAAAAAAAAAAAAAAATCATAATAATCCTTGTATATTATTAGTGTAATTTCTGGACTACAAGCCACTACTTTTTCCACACGGTATGAGCCATGCGGCCTCAACTCTTTTGAAATGCATTTTAAACATACGCAGTGTCCCCCAAAACTTGACAACATTTTGAAGGCCGATCATTTTGCCAAATCTTCACAATAAATTCACAATAAACTTCGGATTATCAGCACTTTAACCTGTTCAGTTTCAGTGAGCTAGACTTTTCAAGTTGTTTGCTTTTAAAATGAGGTCAAATTTTTGGGCTCCCCCTGTATTTACACACACACGAAAATGGATGTTGAACAGAAAAGTCTTACTGTACAATTTTTTTTTCTCAAACCACAAAACGTCATGTTTTTGTCTGTCTGCAGCCGAGAAGGTGATGGGCAACCTGGCCGAGTTGACGGGCCGAGTGGCCCCGCGTGAAATCAGCAGCATTTGGGCCATCAGGAAGGCCATGGGCATCGTGCTCCCTCCCGAGCACCTCATCGACCTCACCACGGGTGAAGACCTTCATCTTGCGCAAGCTTTTATGGTCAAACGTCAAAACAAATATCATAAAAACCTTCATGTGCTAGAGGAAAAAAAGACATTTAAGCGACACATAAATCCATCTCTACTTAAAATTTGCTGTTGACCGGCATAACCAGCATTGTTTTGAACTTCACGTAACGTCCCTGTTCGTTCGTTTCAGTGCACGAGATGGCTGAACCCATGGACACCACTCCAAGCAGTCAGGACGCACTGCCCATCACAGCCGTTGAGTAACTTAAAACAATTTTTTTTTGTACCAAAAAAAAAAAAAAAACCTCATTGTGTCACATTCAATAAACTTATTTTTAATTCACAAACATCAGATCCCTTGTGAATAATTTATTTCGAACATTTTGTTCATAAGCAAGAAAAGGTCAACTATATAACAGTGTTAATCATAATACACACACTTACAGACACGATGGTTGGTGGAATAAGGCCACGAGATGAATGCTCCAGAATCGCTCCTTCTTGAGAGGAGAAATGCCTCACACGTAAGCAAGAAGCAGGCATGACGACAACACACCGGACATGACATCATGCTTGTCGACGACACAGCTATACAGATTGTCCCATTAAAAATACACAAAACATGACCTGCCGAACCACAGCACGTGTGTCTTGCTCATTACACAGTAACAAAGCCGACAAAATGATCCACAAACAGAATCCGTTGTTTTATCGGACACAAAAAGTACATAAAAAGGGTTTAGTACATGAGATTTTCTTTCATTGTCATTAAAGTACAAAAGTTACAGGCCGTTTTTCCCTATCTTGTCCTCCAAAGGCCATAAGACAAGTTAACAAGTGCATGTATCCTTCTGTCAATGTGTGGAATTTTGGTGGTCCACAATATGAGTCTCCCAAATCAGCCCCACAACATAAGTTGCACCGATCCACACGAATTTTGGGTGGGCGTGACAAAAAAAAAAAAAAAAAGTTGCACGGACGTCTCAAAGACATTTTCCCAGAATTGAACGACAACTCAGTTGCGTCCCCATCATCATGTCAGCAAATGATAAAATCCAGCATGGATGTTTATCACAAAAAGATGCACCAAAATCCACGAAGAACCTATGCCGTGAAACGCACAGGTAGCGTTTATGTTTGTACTGACCCCACCCCAATTTCCAGTTCATTTGAAATACAACCCATCTTGAGCTTATCCAGCATAGTTAGACACAATTTCCTGTATTTGCAGCACCACCATCGTCCCACAGCTGTATTACAGTCACTCCTTGTGCTGCGGGAGGAGGGGGCGCGCAAACACTTGCCTCGGGCGTACGAGCGAGTGTTGCATTTTTTGGAGCGTGACCTCCCGATCTCAGCTGAGGCCCATTCCTTGCTGCTTGCTTGTGTCCGTACACACAAAGAAGGTCTTGAGCTCGCCTTTGCCTTTCACGCTGATGAAGCCGCGGCACTCGCATGAGTAGCCCAGCCTGTGAAGCACGTCCGACGTCTCCGCCGTGACCTGCAGGTCAAACGCGCACACGATTCACTCACTTTTTTTGGTTGGCTTGACACTTGCCGAGCGTGAGGTCAACTTTTCTTTGCGTTGCCTGCCAAAATTCCAAGCTGGGACATACTTGTATCTTTCCCAGCTCGCCGGTGCTCTCCATTCTGCTGGCCACGTTGACCGTGTTGCCCCAGATGTCGTATTGAGGCTTCCTGGCACCGATCACGCCAGCGATCACGGGACCGTGGTTAATACCTGCGTGATGATCGACCGACCCCAAAGAAAAGTTAAAACGTTCACCGTGATGAACACACCTGCTAAATTTGGTGGATCATCAGGTTTTTGCCATTGTGATCAGGCCACACGCAATGGCCAAAATTCAAAATGTTTTGCCATTTCGAGTCGCTCATTTGTCGTGATTGAAATTTGGTCGGAAGCAGACAAAATGTCTAAGACAAATGGCAAACGTTCCTGTTCGTGACCCACGGTATGGCTTTTGGTGGTGGTAGTGCACCGTTAATGGTATTCAGGGTTGTTTTAATCAACGAAAACTAATGCAAAACTGAAATCGAAAAAAAAAAAATTATTCATGAAATACTTGATGAATAGATTGGAGTTAATGTCTTCCCTCGGAGGGCCGTTCTGAGAGTGAAGCCAAGTAAATGTTTAATCATCACATCGTATTATTACTTACACACAAACAAATTGTTGGATTACTCATTTTGAAAATAAAAAAAACTATTTTTGTTCAATTATTGTTAAAGTGAGTCTAAACAGGGTAACAAAATTATTCCAAAATCCCAATGTGATTCATCACACATGACAAATTGACATTTCGGTACAGATTATAGCAAGGATCATGGAAGTTGACGCACATGATTTGCTTTCGCCGGCCACATAAAATGACGTGGTGGACCGGATCTGGCCCCCGGGCCTTGAGTTATACACCTATGATTTCGAGCATTCAATCAACCCTTGGAATGTGGGAGGAAAGCAGAGTGCGTGGAGAAAACCTGCACAGGCACGGGAACAACATGCAAACTCCACACAGAAAGGCCGGGGCCGGTTTCGAACCCGTGACCTCTCTACTGTGAGGCGGACATGCGAAACAGTTGTTCACCGTGCTGCATGGGAGCAGGAAAATGATGTCTTTTATAGGCTGATAAATCAAGTGCGTAATTGTCAAGTGCTGATGAAATTTGGCAGTGGGTAAGTCACGGGAGATGACATAAGCTTTCTCTTCCATCCTCACACTCTCGCTCGCAACAGTTAGCGCGTCGATTTGAGCGCACACTCACCCACGCGCAGCCTGAAGCTGTTGAAGGAATGTCGGTTGATGCCGTCCAACTTGCCGACGAGAGCCACGGCGAACTCCACCATGATGCCGATCTGCGCCTGCTGACGCTCCCTGTCCTGGAACAAACGAATGGTGTTCGGCGAGACGCCACGCACTTGGTCACGTAGACCAAGTGCAGAGAAAGCCAAAATAGTTGTGGAGAATATCTCTCAAAAGTCAAAGGTCAAATACATCCACAAAAGAATTCCACCAAGTGGAGGTGACAGTGCATCAATAGCGATCAATTGCCCCGATCGCTTTCTGTTCTTTATCTCCATTAGAGTCCTGCATACTCATGGTTCGTCATCCCATGGATTTTTTGCAGATTTTTACGTTTTATAAATATTTTTAACGGGGGAGGGGGTTGGGGTTACCATCATATATAACAAACAAATATTTCATGGAAAATCCACGAATGTTTATCACCACTTTTGAGGAGAAGGAAAAAAAAAAGATTTTCGCTCTTCGCGCAATATCCCCCGCAAATAGTGGGGGCCCGATGTACATATTGTATTATTTCTACACCGGAAAGCACCATGGGAGGGATGGTATTTCATATGCAACAGTGCCCCCGTTCAGCCACCCCACCTGGTTGTTCTCCTGACCGAGCGTCCCGCTAAGTCCTGCCGCCGCCATGTACGTGCTGCCGATGGTCTTGATCTTCTCGACGCCGCTGAACTTGGGCTTGGACAGCAGCTGTCGGGAGAAGAACGCCATCATCCTGTCAGGCCATGATTCAATGGCGTGCTCCCAATCCGCGCAGAAGCAAAGAAGCAACGGGACGCCTCTGGCGAACCTCATCGAAGTCGGCGATGATCTCGTTGAGGAGCCGCAGGCATTCCAGGCCCTCTTTGTTGATATCGCACTCGGTGTAGAACTCCTTGAAGTCGGGCACCGAGGCGAACATCACGCACACGCAGTCATACGACTTGTAGTAGAGATCCTATTCGGGGAAGGAAAGAAGATTTCCAGAAAGTGCATTCACGCAGCCGTTGCGGCTTAACACAGTCACATAATTACAAATGCTTCCCTATATAAATAAGGATGTGCCCTGCATGGCCATAGGCAGAGCCGAGCTGCCGTTTTGGGGACGGCCTGACGTCTCACCTCGTTTTTCTTGTTCTCGCCGACAAAGAGCGAGGCCACGTGGGCGGGCAGCACGTTCTCAAGCAGCAGGCGGTTGAGGTTCTCCCGGGTCTCGATCTCATCCTGCTCTGTGCGGTTCTTGTACTTGAGTAGGAAGTCCTGGCGAAAGCACGACTCGTTCTGACGTTTACGTGCACGCACGCAGGCACACATGCACACACGCACACACACAGTCCCACACACACCAGGATTGGTTTGGAAACGAGGATGATGATGATGATGATGATGAAGAGTAGAGTGGGCGAGCACCTGTTGCGAGATGATGAGCATGGTGACGAGGAACAAGGTGATGTAGATGCAGCTCATCACCTGGGGGTGCTTCACCAGGCCCACCAGCCTCACCATCGACTCGTCGGATAGGCTGCAGACAACAAAGACTTTTCAGACACTAAAACACAATTTTTTTTTTACTACATTTAAATATTTCTCTTTCATATCTCTTATTTATGGCTTCACATTGTTTTTTTTTTTTTGCCCCTTGCATTTTTGTATTTTTATATTAGAAAGTTTTACTTTGAGAATTTGTCCTTTCAATCAGTGACATTTTACTCACATCCTATTTTTTTAATATCTATTTTTAATTAGTATTTTTATTTCACATATTTAGATTTTATATATCATTTGGATTCTTGCTCAATTTTTATTGATTTTCTCATTTCGTGTAAATGACTTTAGTTTCCTAATTTTTGGTGTTTTCATGATTCATTTTTTATTTTGTATTTCCAAAAAAATGCTAATTAAGATGAAAAAGTAAAATACTTTTTCATTTTAATTCACATTTTTTGGTCATTTTTGTAAATTTGCATTTTAACTTCTTATTTTGAGTTTGCTTTGTTCACATTTTTCTTTAGTTTCTCTTTTAGTTCTTATTTTTCATGTGAAGTTTTTCATTTAGAAATGTTTGCAATTTCAATTATTTTCATTTTCACTCTTATTTTTCCTTACTGCAATTTTTTTGTTATGCAAATGTTTCTCTTATTTTCATATTCTTATGTTCATGTGTACCCTTGGTTTTTTTTCCATGTTTAAAATTTTTTTTCCATATTTTTCTTTTTGCATCGGGAAACATGGAAGGAGTCGTGTTCTATTTTGTGTGTAAACAGGTACCGAACGAATTCCAATGACTGTACAGTACAAACATTTTTCCAGATTAGAAAAAGCAGCGATTTATTTAAGGAAGGCATTTATTTTATTTTTCTTAGGAGACAACTTTTTTGTGTGATTGTAGGTGAAGTAATCGCGAATTGTATTAGATAGGACGCGCCTCCCCCACAGGAGACGGCCATGTTTCGCCGCCATCTTTCTGCTACGGATACCCGGAGGAGACAAATTAGTGACCGTAGTTCCTCAACATGATGCCTACATCATGTGTAACAGATGCCAGCCATTTACTCCATCACTTGAGGGAATATTAGAAGTCATTTGGGATGACATTTTGATTGCACCTCTGCAGAAGACATTAGGGGTCGGCTTGTGAAGTGTGGTTTCTCTGGGGCACCGTAGTACGCGTTCTTCAAAATGCATGCGCTTCAAACTTAGGTTCTTGAATTCTCTCAGTTCACCACTAGATGGAACTAAATTCCACATCTGTACTGTAAGCTTTTTTTAATGCACATTTTAATATGGATTTATACATGACCCACATTAGGCCCGGAAAGCTTGCTCCGGACCACCTGTCCATCACAATAGTGGTTGCGTAACAGTCTTTCTCCATAAGCGCATGGCTATAAATCCCCCCTCTATGTGACCAGATACTTGGCTTTTCTACACGGCGCCTTTTTTTATTTAATTATTATTTCATTACCGCCCTTATCGTGGTATCGAGTCCCACCTGCTGCAGTTGCCCTCTCCGGTAATCTGAGCGTGGAGGACATCTGCGTAGGCCACAAAGAGCCGCTTGTTGGTGCTGAGGATGATGATGTAGTAGATGCTGGACGACAGGGCGAGGAAGAGCACTTTGAGCTCCAAACTGACGCGCAGGAACACGCCACAAGCCATCAGGGAAAGGATGCAGCAGTACACAGAATACTGGCGGGAGAGCCACAGTGGAGACAATTTTAAGTCATACCTATTAGCGTGTTGAACAAAAGTAGATGTCAAAACTTGATTTAAAAAAAAATAAATAAAAGCCTCACGGGCAGATAGAAGAGTCCTCCCTGTAATCCCAGACGTTGGGAATCATTTATGTGACCCAGGGCGGAAACGTCACCACTGGAACAGTCTGGAAAATGTGGCTGGATGAAGCACTGCAGGATGGAAGGAAAGGAAAGTCGGAAAACTGAGCCAAAGAGCAACCTTTTTTTTTCTTCTTTTTTTTTTTTAATGAAAACGGGGTCTTGTTCACCAGGTTGAAGATTGCCAAGAGAACGATGACGGCAGTGGTGACGGCGGCCAGGGGGAGGCGCACACACGGCTTCTTCACCACCGCCTCAGAGACTGACGCCAGCCACTGGCAGCCTGACAGCTTCTCTGGAAACATTCGCTACACACACACACACACACACACACACACACACACACACACACACACACACACACACACACACACACACACACACACACACAAGCAGGCAGAGAAGTTCCATGGAGAAAGAAGATATCTGACTTTCATTGTCACATGTGAGGGTCGACTATTCCCGTCAAGGACGCAAATCACTGGGTTAGCTACAGAAAGCAGGGGTGTTATTTTGTCATTTGGGGCCCCGAGACCCTCCACATCTGCAAAGCTTTGGAATATGTTTATCATCAACCAAAATTGTGAATTAGAGTATCTTCAGCATTTTTCCGAGCGAGTTAAAAGTCCTTAATATCCTTCTTGAGAATTGCTACACAACAAGTCAATCATCCTAACCTCGTTACTGTCACTGATAAGAACATGAATCGACATTTAACCGAGCTGACCACTACGACCGCTTTAACGTTCCCATCTTAGTCACGAAGAGGGTCACTCGTGTCACCCTTCACTTCATCTCGACTGCATTCTCCTCGACTGACACTGACAGCGGTGCGACTGCTCCTGGCAAGAGCGACTGGCTCTTTGGGTTCCGCTACACAAATGTGGTGTCACCCCAATAAAGGTTAAAGCCTTCGGTAGTTTTGATGTAAACTGTTATTTCTGTCGCCTTCTCCTCCTCTCCATTCCACTGGGATGGCGCTTTTTTTTTTTTTTTTTTTGTCAGTTAAATTGAAAAACTGCCAACATGGCTGCCAACGCCACCTACAGTCCTTCCATTGCCTTTGATAGGGGCGTCGCCCCTGCTCTACCTGGCCGTCCTGGTCTCTATTTTGGCTTGAGATGTTATTATAAGGTGAAACATAATTATTTTATTGTTTTCTTTTTCACTATGAATTCAGCATTGGATCCCTCGAGCTCGATGTCAAACCAAGTTATTATTATACGATAACATGTCAAGGTATGTCCGACCCGGCCCGCCGCGCCGACCTGTATATGAGCTGCAAAACAGATGGCCAGGGTCAGCAGCAGGACACACGCCAACGCCGCAAACGTCACTCCGAGTATCTGCCGACTGAGAGTTAAACAAAGCGGTTGGTTGTCAGTTGGCCTCCCATTTTTCTGCACTTATTTCATTGCTGCTGATACTCACTCCCCGGTGACTAACATCTGGATGGAAAAGATGCAGAGGAAGATGACGGCGGCGCAGCCCACGTAGTGCTTGAACATTGGCAAATCCAAGGCTCGGTACTTTGGAAACAATGAGAGAGCATTTGAACGAGAACCAAAATGAGGACAAGGGTACAAGAGGTGTTTTTTTTTTTTTGGTTTTTTTTTTGGTTCAACGTACCTGTTTTTCTAGGTCTTTCTTTGGAAACCAGATGGCTAAACTGCCGCTCTCCTCAGACTTGTACCACTGCCTTGGGGAGGGAGGAGAAAACCAAAAATAAAAGAGACCGCTGTGTTAAGTGCGGCAGTTGCTGTCTAAAAGCAGCGTGATCTTTTGTGAAATAGAATACTGAGAAGTAATGGATGATTAGAAGAATTAAAATCAAAATTCTTTTTCGTAAAATAAAGTGTTTTACAACTACAATTAATGCTAATTATTCAAGTAAATAATTCACTTACCGCGATTAAATTCATTAAAAAAAAAAAAAAGATAAATTATGTTCTTAAAATAAACCACCTGGGTTCAAATCTCAGCTCAGGCCGTCCTGGGTACAATGTTGACCAAATTGTCATGTCACATGACAATCTGCCTCACTGGTGCACAAATGTTTCACAGTCAAGAGGTTCTGGGGTCGAATATGGGCCATCGTACACATTTGGAGGACTCGTTTCTTACACTTGGATGGCAGCTGAAACTTGATCAAGGCTTTATGAGGGCGGCGGTTTGAACCGGGGATGGTTTGATCCCATTTCCATGACTTTCTATGGGGTTTGTGTTTGGGTTTGTCGTGTTTTCTGAGGTTGCCTTTGGAATGGACCTACTTGCTGCCCAGTTCATCGATGGTGGTTGTCATCTCGTTGTGCAGCTCCTCATCAAAGCGACTCTTTTGTGACTTGTTCCTGCGCCGATGAAACAGACGCCATTAATGAAAGAAAAAGAGACATAAGGCCGGGGATGGGGGGTTAATGGCCGCTCTGTGCACATTAGTCAAAGAGAAAAAGGAGACAGTGCCTGTATAGATCATGCCTGTGGTGCACACAGAGGGGGAGGGAGTTAACCGGATGCTGTGAGTTAGATGAGCGGTTCAGGGGGCTATGGAAAGCCCACTTAGGCTATCTGGCAGGAAGGAAGCCCTTGCACAGATGCACACAGCAGATACATACGCACCCCGCCCTGGTTCGACCTCAGGGGAGCGCGTCGGCGTGATTCTGAGAGGAGGTTTCGCGGTGTCACGTGATGAGTAGGAACGAAGAGTGCAACGGCCCTGCCGAGGTTAGTGTTGGGGCGTTAGGACTTGAAGCTTAGATGGTATTTCTCACCCAACTTCCAGTTAAAGCCATTCACTCAAATGAATTATTGTATTACCTCAAATAGTGGCCATACCTCGAATACAGTGTTGCGTCATTTTTGTTGAGCCGAGGCACACGCACGACTCGAGAGAAGTTTGAGATATTGGGCTCTCGGGTTCTCACACCCAGGCCCGATGCATGTCGAATATCAAAATATTGCCATAGCGCCACCTACTGGCATCTTGAAATATGTTGAATGGAGGGGAGGAGACACATTTTGTCCTATCTCATCGAAAAAAACTGCTTTATCGCCGTCATGTGGCATGCATCTACAGGCAATTTATCAAAAAATTTTGGTGGGCCTCAATTGGGGATTTTTGCTGTTCAAGGTGTAAATAGTGGTCAATGAGGACACCTACCAGACCCACCAGGGAAGATCTATGAAATAGCGAGACCACATAAAACATTACTTTAAATATAATACTACACATTCTTATAGTAAACACTTACTTTGCCGTTAAATGTCTTCTATGCTTCTGAGGTTTTTTTTGTTGTTTATTTTTAACTTTGTGAAGCGCATTGAGCTAGCTACCTTTTGTATGCGCAATATGAATGACCCTGCCTTGCCTTACACCTGACACCTGCTCCAACAAAGTATAAGCACATTTAAAACTGAAATCTGCGATGAAAGGGAACACTGTATTCCATAAATTGACAAATACAAGCCCCACTATTTGCGACAATACAATGAATTAGTGAGTCAGAGTGGTACTTTTTCCAAAAGTACATGTTTCTTAAATTCAGGCTGAGAACTCCTGATCTGTGCCAGGGGCCCAAACTCACTTATGGCTGGTGAACGAGGCCGTGGACAAGGAGAACTGCTCTTCTAGTGACTCATCAAAGCTGTCACAGGAGGAGTGCAACAAGTAATAACACAAAGCACATCACAAACACAGCAGGTAGTGGAGCTGCCATGGCAATCGATGGACAATCACTACCCTGGCACAAATAGAGCTGGTTGACTGTTTTTGGAAATCATGTGAATGTTGACTATTTACAGCAAAGTTGACTTTAGCGATGCTGCAATACATGATCAAAATAGAGGTCACGGGAGGTTCACTTTTCATTGATTTATTTTTTTTACCTCTCAGTGATCTTGGAGCTGGGTGCTGTTCGCAATGGGATGTCCTGAAAAACAAACAAACAATGGCTTATGCAATGTACTGTTTATTGTGAAAAACTGCAGAAAGAAACAATCAGACTTTTTATTTCAAACTGGATTATTTTCTGGGGATGGGAGAGTACTGACATCAGACACCGTATCAGGCCGATGCCGGTCTTATTTCTAAGTATCGGGTACTCATGAACGATGCCGATAGTAGCCACCGATACTTGAGGCGAAACATCGAGTAAGTCCTCCTTGCCAATAGTTGGCGCTACAGGAGGGTCTTTGTTCACACACATCTGCCACTGAGCCATCCTGTTTATTTCTATTGTGCAAGGTGGCAATTATCACAGATAACTAATCATTGGCAGATTTTCTGAAGTCCTGCTTTCCTGCTTACCTTACTGAGTGACTTTCCATTGCTGAGGGGGTCCACGGCGAAACCTTCTCGGCTCTGCAGGTGCGCAAACGGCTTGACGGCCCCCCAGGACTCCAGGTACCGCGTCATGCGCACGGACGCCCGCATCTTCAGACCATCGTTCACCCGAGGCTTGGGGACGCTGCGGCTGCTCTGCGTCGGATCTTTGGACTCATCAGAGGTATACATCACCTTTTAATATGTTATGCAGCGGTAGATACCCTTTTCACACTGCACTCGCTCAGTGGCAAAGTGTCGCTCGGCCTGGCGGACAGATGACGGCGCCCCTGGTGGCCGGCGTGCACATATTTGGAAGTGCTGATGTAGTACCGACTTGTCGCAGCATTAGCGTCGTCGTCACAAAACATAATCTATATATAAATATATGTAAAGAAGTATAAACTATAAAGAAACAAACCGTGTTCCTTTATTTGCGACCAATTTCTTTTCCACTTGGAGCACTCAGAAGTCAAGGCGCCGCAGTATTTGACATGTACAGTGAGCAGTATATTCGTATTCAGATCAGTCTCCATACACCCACACATGATGGCTATATACATTTTTTAAAGCTATGTTTTCAAGTGCCTGCATAACAACCATCAAGCGCCTTTTTAAGTGACACAGAAGGTCGTAAACTCACCCGAGGGTCAATAACGAGGTAGGTTCTGACGTTGAGCTCCTTGAGATATTGGTCCCGCAGCTGCCCCTCGCCCTCCTCTACTTCGTACGCCTTGTTCAAGTGCTTCAGAGTCGCCTCTGTGATGTGAACACGTCTGGAATGACCACGATAATGTTTGCTTTTTTTTTTCTTTCTTTTGTAACTGCTTTTGGCCATGAGTTGACATTTAGTAAATGATGCGACAACAACAGAAAAATGTCAAGAGAATATTATTATGGCTATCAAGTAAATGTATTTTCACATTATGGGACGCGGGATGCGGGATGAAAAAAAAAAAAAAAACAATGGACATTTTCCACAGGGAAATATTTCTTTTGCAGTGTTTTTTTTTGTTTTTTTTTTAAATAAAAATTTTATTTCACCTGCGTAGTAGTTATCGGCACTTACCCCGGGAGGCCTCCTGACTCCATGTGATTGGCCAGCGTCACATCATGTGACCATACGTCAAATTGCCACTTGCGCAGACCGATCACGCCACACAGCACATTGCCCGAGTGCACGCCCACTCTCATGTTGATGTCCACGCCGGTGGCCTCTCGTACCTGCCTGCCACACATTAAAAAAAAAAAAAAAAAAAAAATCACAAAAACAAGGCTTTACCACGACTACGAACGTCATTTTTGCAGAACTTCCTACGAACCTTTCCCTGAGAACAATCTACTAATAGCTAATAGCTACGGTTGGTCAACTTTTATGTATCGTCCTGATCTAGGGATGTCAAACTGTGAAGAGAGAGGAATTCATGAAATATGAATCCTGATTTAAGAAGAAATTCAGTTGTATCTCCACAGATCAAAAACTTGTGAACTTTGATGTTCAGCTACAGAACAACAAATTGTGCAAAAAGTACTGAAACACTGAAGTGGTGGACATGTCCATTCAAACGTTTAGAGAAGAACAAATTAAGCTGACCTGGAGAGGTTGAGAAGTTATAGTGCAATTTAGGTTCAGCTTGTAAGTTCTCCTAAAAACCTAGTATACCAAACAGCGGTACCTTGACTTTCGAGTTGAATTTGCCAAGCTCAAAAAACTCACTTGACTCAAATTAAATTGACGTAATCCATTGAAATCAATTGGAATTCCATTAATCTGTTCAAGCCCCTCTCTAAAAACCACCTCCAAAATGATGTTATGCATTTTAAATAAGGAGAAATAGCACTGTATTTTACACAAACACCAAACCATAATAAAAGGGAATGAAACTAGTTTTATGTGTGTTGAAAAAAAGCGGGAAGTCCCAATAACAGCAGTGCGCCTCAGACGGGGCGAGGCCGATTGAGTGGCATCCGGAAAATTTGGGTTTGTCTTTTTGTACAATGCAATAAACGGCTGAAAGTATCGTCGGCTACTGGGAGTCTTGTTTTTTTTTTTTAAACTTCACTAATGTGGATAGCGTAATCTAAAACTTGCATGTAAATATGATTTTGACCGATGAAACAATGCAAAGTGACAGCTTGTAACTTAGACTTGTACCACCATGTCGTCCCTTGTTTTCTTGTTATTAACGGAGTCACTTGATTATTTACATAACTCACTTAATGGCTTCGCACATGTCCAGGCCCATTTTCACACAATTCTTGGCATGTTTGGGCAAAGACACCGGCAGGCCTGAGACGCAGTAATAGCAGTCGCCCAGGATCTTGATCCTCATGCACTCGTTTTCCTGGAAAGATGTGCATGCATGAAGAGTATTTAGTGAACCCCCGCCCTGTTCATGGCGGGTTGACATTTTACTAACTCGCCCATAACACTGTTGGTAAAAATCTGCAATATAGACAGACCATATGAATATATTTGAAAAATATTTTCACTCCTTTGAACACAAACAAAAATTGCAAGCATAGAACGATCAATAAAATTCGCGCTCGTGTGCTACAATGCGTCTTTAAGAGGCGCCTGAGAGTGACTGTGTGTGAGCTGTGGCTGACAGCAGAGCAGCTTGTGCATTTCTTTTTTTGTTTGCTCATTGTGGTTGTGTCTTCCTGTCTTCCCGTTTAATAAACAGCTGAACGGTGCAATGCCAAGTGTGGCTCTCCTTCCCCACATGAGAGAGCATTACAGATTTTCACAATAACAGGAGGCGATTACCGCGAGAGATAAAAAGATCCAAAATAATACAACGGTCATATCACAATTTATGTCAAGTGAAACTAGGGTCAAAACAAAATAAAAAGGAAAAGAAGACAAACTGACCTTGGCAATTTGGTCAAACTTTCCAAACAGTTCGTTGAGCATGACGACGAGCTCCTTGGGGGAACAGTCACTGGCCAATCGAGTGAAGCCCACAATGTCGGCGTAGAGAATACTGAAAAGAAGAACACGTTTTCCGAGAAAACGCGTCACAACCTATGGCCAACCTTGGAAGCTCGATGCAAACGCAAGTCCAAACTGCTCGGAATTCAAGAAACGTTGAGGGATGGAAATACTCCTCTAATGTTGCACAAAAATATGCTAGAAGCTTGACACGCCTATCTTTGGGAAGTTTTGCCGATCACACTTCTTATAGGTTTGGCTGGAGATCGTTGGTGCGCAGCCATTTTCAGATCTCTCCACACATGTTCAATCAGATTTTGGACTCTGGCTGGGCCACTCAAGGACAGTCACGGAGTTGTCATGAAGCCCTTCCTTTTTTTGTCTTGGCTGTTTAATTAGGGTCTTTGTCTCATCAGACCACAAAATGTTCTGATTGGTGGAATCAAAGATGGTTGTCCTTCTGGAAGGTTCTCATCTCTCCACAGAAGACCGCTCCATTTTGAACTTTGTGGCAAAGGCTGTGAAGACTTATGTACATGTGATTTCTTTTTAAAAAACATTATTTCAGACGTTTGTTTGGTGGTGCGCCGTGATGTTTTTTTTTTTTTTCAAATTTCAAATGGTATTCTTGGCTCAATGCATTACACTGTGCATTCACTACACACACACACTCACACACACACACACACACACACACACACACAAAATGCCCGTCTCTCTCAAACACACACACACACAGCACTGAGAGTGCTCATTGACTGGTGATCAATCCCCTGGTGAACATAAAGACAGGCCAGACTAAAAGGAATACAGTACCAAACAGTAACTCATTTCCCAATGGAAATAATAACAAGTCAAGTGAATCGTTTGGTTGGGCCAGGAGCCGCACTATAAAATGCTTACTCCTACTCGGGCATTTCCATGAATGAAGCATGGCGGGAATTTCATCTTTCTCAGCATCCATTAGAAAAAAAAGTGTGTGTGTGTGTGTGTGTGTGTGTGTGTTTTATTTATATATATATATATATATATATAAATGAGATTTCTTACAGGCTGATCCACGACAATTGTGGTGCGTAGGTGGATCAGTTGTCTGGAAGCAAACTAATCTGTCATCCATACAGAAATGGATCCGTTTGTTTGAGTGGCATTTGTATTTGGTACCTGACGTTTTCATGACGTTTGACGTAAAGGCTGTGGAAGTTGTTGTCTTTAACCAGCCGCTGTTGCTCCTCCTTGTCTTTGCAGTCCTGCAAGCGTTCCATGATGGCCAGCTTCATCTTCATAGAGATGTAGACCGGCAGCACAGACTGCAGCAGGTTCTCCTGCAAAACACCAAAATGCATTTGTGGAACTTGCCTTGATGCTGGACAGCGGTGGGATGCAGACATTTGGGAGTCCTGAATCTGAAATGTTACTATGAAGCAAAATAAATCGTGGAGCGTGGATTGTCGTCGAGAAAGGCAGCACTTCATCATGACGAATAATGAAATAATACGAGAGAAAAAAAAAAAGAAAAAAAAAAAAGAATAATTTAAAAAAATATATCAGCATAATGAATGAATAATCAAATAAAAAAATAGGAGAATGAAATTCCTGGTTGGATTGAATGTGACTGCTGAAATGCTGGATGCAAAAATAATAATGAAATATTACTGAATTATGCGGAATGATGTGAACATCTTAAAGTTGGAACGATTTGAATTAAAAAAAAATATATATATATAGTAATGAGCTGAAGAGTTTCAAGTAGGAGCAGTTCGAGTTGCCTTTTCTTTTGAAATTTTTGGGGTAAAAAATAGGGATGAGATGAGCAGGTGTGAATGCCTCAAAAACTGTGGAAATCTTAATTTGGAGCTTTTATTTTTGAAGTGAGCAAAAATGTGGTGTAGGGATAAACTGAGCAGTTTAAAGTTGGAACATTTTGAATCAGTCAAAAAAAAAATGTCAACATTAGAGGTTATTCCAAAATATAAAAATTTTTGGACTTTTAGTAATTTAGAAAAAAAATGTGGTCGGGATGAGCAGAACATTTTAAACATGGAACGGTTTGAATCTGAAATGAAATCAGAAAGCAAGTAACATTCTAATAATTGACTTTGATTTGGCAATTGAAAAATGTATTCGGAAGGCGATCACACATGCGCGCGCACACACACACACACACACTAAAGTGCACAAATGCAGTGTTAAAGATCCCACGGTGGTCATCGTCAGCTTGTTGACAAAAATAGAGAAATATTTCAAAAGATGACTCCGGCGGAGGCAGAAAAATTTAATTAATGCAGACTTGGCTCGTCACAATGACAAACATCCTCAAGCAAGGTCAACTGGGGGCCGGCCAAGGATGGAGCTTCCCGGAGATCAAAGTAAACCGTGCTGAAGATGAAGAGGACCATCGTAGCGATGCTCTTTATTACCGGTAACTCTGCATGTCTGCCATGTTTGCTTTCTGTGTTTGTTCAGTGAGATGTAATCAAAGCAGTAAAATTTATAAAAAGGAGAAATATTGTGCTTTATTATACCCAACTGTATGACGTTAGAATCATAAAGTGTATGTGTGTGTGTGTGTGTGGGGGGGGGGCAAAGCGATCAGGTGTCACGTCATTAAAAACATTTTCACTCATGAAGGCAGCACTTCAATTGCTACACCATGTGTGATTATTAAATTGAAATTTCAGTTTTTATGACACCTGTTTGTTATTAATGACGAGTGATCGAGTTTCATAATTGTGAGACATTTCGGAATCCATTTTGTCCCCGGTAAGTAAACGTAAATGCTGCCTGAGTGTCCGTAAGGATCCAATCGAACCTGTTGTCTCTTCTCGATCTCCAGCTTCATGCGCATGCTGAGGCATCGGCGCGTGTCCTGAAAGGTCTGCCTGAGGGTTTTCTCCATGAGGACCTTGTGAAATGCTCCCACCACGCTGCCACAAAGGAACACCACCACATTGGACAGCAGCTATGCACAAATGCACAAACAGAAAAAAAAAAAACGCAGTGAAGGCAAACAGAATCATTAGATGGAAATCGTGTGACGTGAACAGCTAATATTACTGCTGTACCAAGAAGCCCAAAGAGGAGCGGATTCTCCATTACCTTATATCTGTCTGTCTGTATTAGACTGCCCCCAAGTGGCCAAAGTGTATACTTTTCCACATAAAATGACATCATCTTGCAGTATTGCTATAATATTCTTCTAACATTCCAACTTTTTTTTGCAAGTGGTGAAGGTGAGATGCAGAAATTTTTCAGGTCATGTGCGGGGTCTGGCACATGGGTTCATATGTTTAAAAAATAAGTTGTCAAGTGTGCTCCCTGCTTAAGATGAGAGGTTGCTGTAATGTTTCACCTGGTTGGCGAGGTGCGGCGTGGGCACGTCGCTGTACACGGTGAGCCGCAATGTGAGCGCCACGATGTGGGACAGCGATGAGAGCGTGCTCAGTGCCACCGCGTACCACCATGGGAATGGCAACATGGTGTACACCGTGAAGATGATGAAGAGGAAGAATGGCACCTAAGGGAAAAAGGGGAAAAAAAAAAAAAAAAAAACGTCATTTTCTGTCGAAATGGGGGGGGGGGGGAGGCACATTGCGACAGGTATAATCACACGAGCTGTGTCTACTTGTTACTTTCATTTTTTGGGGTTGCGGGGGTGGTCCATTTTTCATTATGAAATTACATATTTCTCTTATTATTATGAATTCCTCATGGTATCTTCCTGTCTTCTTGCAGTGTCCTGAAATTAATTTCCTTGCATTACCGCAACATTGTTCTTGTAAAATTTAAAAAAATTTTCTTGCAAGATAATTATACTTTCTCAAAATTACCCATAGTATAGTCCTAATTAGTTTTTTTCAGTTTGTTTTTTAATTTCCATTTTGCCTTCAAATTCAAACTTTTTTTTTTCATAAAATATTTTCTTACACTACTGGTCCATCATTCTCACAAAATGACACATTTTCTTCTGCGTAGTCTTTTTCTTGAAACATTCCCAAAATATAAAGACAAGTTTTTGTAGTGACATTCTTGTAATATTCTAATCACCCCCCCCCGCCCTAAAATGCTCTTCTCTTTCAAGATTATTATCCTAGAATAAAAAGTCACGTTCTTTCTCTTTCAATTATATCACCTTACTGACAACCTGATAGTTTTTCTTGCAATATTGTGACATTATTCTTGCAAAATTCCACCTTAAATATAAAAAAGAAATTTTCTTGTCATATCGCTGTATTATTTTTGCAAAACTGCAACTTTTTTTCCTCAGAAAATCACTCTTGCAACAATCTCTACATTATTCTCATAAATTACTCACGAAACATTTTTTGTTGAATGACTTTTATTTTGCGCAAGTGATGGTTTCACCTGGTCCCACGGGAGGACGACGGGCCCACTGAAGATGAAGGTAAATCCCATGGCCAGGTGCGCCGCCCACACCAGCAGGCCCAGTGGCCGGCGCCAACGTTGGGACAGCATTTCGGTGCACACCAGCACGAAGACGGCCAGGAAGACGCACAGGCCGCCGCTCGTCACGCTCACAAAGGCGCAGTGCTCCTGGGCGCTCTGAAAAAGTTCACAGCCTCATGAACACCTCGAAAGCATAAGGACAATAAAGACGGTCGCAGACATTCTTATGTAAGAGCACTCAGCCATCAGAGCGGCTGCAAAATCAATAGCGGAGCACGACTACACTCCTAATGGCTTTGAGGAGGTACAGATCCACTAAAATGCTGAGGAAAAAAAAAACATGTAATTATAAGCTCAACAAGCTACTAATACATCTTCCCAAGGGACATTACTTGAGAAATGAAATATAGATTTTTATTTTTTAGCTTTCAGCCACAAACAGACCACCCATCCATCATTTTTTCTTTGAACTTGTCCTTCAATGATGTGATGAATGACAACAGAAACGAAATCAATAATAATATTAAAATAGGAGTTGAATATTATGAAGAAATGTATAAGACAGACAAACAAAACAGCAGCAACAATAACTGGACATTCATACATTCGTTCATTGATTGTGATCGTCAGGGTTGGTCGTCCCTACGGGGCTTTATTAAACTGTATATGTTTATCTTTTGGAAAATGCTACGTACTTTCTGACCTCGTTTTTTGGGCAGTGCTGCGCTGACACATGAAAGGCCGCTAGCTATTCTATTCTTATTAACATTGCACAGGTTTCCTTTACCATAAACAACAGTCACTATTATTACTATATTGATGCATTGCTCGATTGGGGGAGGGGGCGGGTGGACACAATATTTTTTTACGGACTCGATAAGTTATCATATGCATGCTTGTTTACACACACACACGCCTGCCCCCATGTGAAGTTGAATACACTGTGTTGCACATCTGGATGGAATAGAATGAACCCCCTCACATTTGTAGTTCGGCATGCGTAAATTTGTGGATTTCTCATCGGGACTTCTGTTTCTCTGAAAAAGTCACCTATTTGTTGTTTTTTGTTCGAGGCCAAAGCCATTCCTACTGTCAAAAAGATAAATGTTTCGGCACCATCTGGGTGTCAAGTAAGTTGGACTGAGGGAAGTAGCTTCAATTGAGCATTAATTCAGGCCATAGCTTTATTTACAGTCAAAGGAAAAAGGCAATTACAAACATTTTGCGTGAACAAGTCTCAAGTAGTTTCCTGTCTTATTCTTCAAGTCAAAGTTGCCACTTTTACACGCATTGTCAACAGTGTGTGCAATCTGTTATCGTAGGTGAGCATGCAATTTAGCGCTGTCTATTAGGGATCTTAGTAAAAGATGATAAGCTTATAAATCAAGCACGCCGTTAGCATGAGCAACTTGTTAAGAGCGAACATCCAATTTACTACTGCAATTTGGGACCTTAGTAAATCGGGCCCTAGGAGAGCAGTCAGCACACCATACCCTCATTTTGCCACCATGTGGTTCCTGCAAAGCTGTTTAAAAAAAAAAACAGTACATGTGTAAACAGAGACTTACCAGTCCGAGAGCGAAGAAGAGGACCAGGAGGACACCGCAGGAGATCATGGAAAGGCCCAGCAGGAGCACCAGTGGCTGGTACTGGCTGATGCATGAGAACTTGCGGTAGAGTGCCTCGTTCTTGAGTTCCTGGTCATTCAACAAGTATTTCCCTTTGGCTGGCATGGCCAAGTGTGGTAAAAATGTTGGTATTTAAAAAAAAAAAAAAAAAAAAAAAAAAAGGGAAGAAAAAAGGTTTGTGGTCCTTGCTAGCTCATGGCACTCCAATGAAGTTTGTCCCCATCATCTTGCATCTTGAATGTACTCCTGTCTACTTCTTGAATCTGAAGTTGTGTCTGCCAGCTACAGCTCTCTGGAGTAATAAGGGAGGCTCGGAGGATTTAGATACGCAGGAGGGAGGGCGACTGGAGACTGGGGAGGAGAGGTAACAGAAGAACAGAAGCCGACAAGGGCATCAGAAGAGGTCATCAACACCGGGATTGGGCTCGGAACGCAGCAACAAGGACGGTGGCTTCATACTGGCAATATACCTGAATGGAAGAGACAAACTCAGGTTTGAATTCGGTCCAAAATGGCATAGCTGTGGTGGTGATCAAACTATCAGAGTTAATCAGTCATTAAAGCTTGCTTTTTTGGATTGTAGGTAGCAGTTAAGAGAGATGAACGTCTACATTCAAGGCAGCTGCTTTAGCTAACCCGAACTAGCCCTTATGCGAATGCTAACTAAACCGAACCTTAACTAACCCAATCTTGAACTAACCCTAAAACAAATTAGTCCGAATGAAATATTTTAGGCTTAACTCTTCACAATGGTCCGGTCCATTGTGTGATTGTATTGTGGAATTGTGGGTAAGAAGTGGGAAAACAGATTTGAAAGCAAGAACGCGTTGTACATGGTCAGAGACATTGACATTGTGTTCACTCTTTGTAATTGTACTTTGGTTTATCTGGATTTCATTTTTGGGCTGTTTACAATGTGCTTTGGGCTTTCGACTGACGTTCCAAGTGTTACTTAACCGTGTATTTTAGCAGGAGCCTCAATGACGTGTTTGGAAATAAACTATGAACGTGTTTATTGACACACCAGCATGCGTTTCCTAGTCCTTGGCTCACTCAAAGAAGGCAGCCGCATTAATAATGGGCAATGCTGCCCAATTAGTGTCCTTTATTGGGAGCATAATACAAACAATCGACTGGAACGGAATGACGTCCTATAGGAGCGGCAAGGGCAACCCACATGACTTGACGTTACCCCCGGCTGACCTGACAAAAACAAAACGATATAAACTGAAAATGGGAACATAAAAGGTGACTTCTGACAGTGAGCACGTGTATTCCCACGAAGTGGGCCCGCCATGACCTCACCCCGTGCACATGTGACTGACTAACATGTAAATTAATAAAGCTTAGAGGAATACACCTACATTCCTAGTAATACTGTGACCCCCCCCCACCTCAACCACCCCCTCTTTGTACTGCTACCAAACCTTTCATCACAATATGCCGCTAAAGTCGCAAGAGAGCTACGCGAGCGTGGAAGGATTAATTCAACTCCTTTTGAAGTTTTTTAAAAATTTTGGTTAGCATACTTGTATGACAATTATTTTTTTTTTTTTAATGTGACTTGAGTGACGTAGCTCCAGTTAACTCCATCTAGCCCAAACCGTAACTAACCCTAACTGTAAGGTGCTATCCACTAGCCCACCGCGCGCTGCGCCAACTGTACATTTCCAGCTAATTATTTTCAGAGCGAGGCAACCAGGTTGCAAGCTCACCGGAGACAAGGTGGACTTTGCGCCACTGTCAATAGAAAGCTCATTTCCGCCAGCTGTTCATATGTGTAGGACATGTTTGTCCTTCGCATAGCAACAGATGCGACGTGCCATAAAAAGAGAAGGAGGGTCAGGCAGTGGAGCAGCCGAACGGCGTACGGGAACGGACTTTATGCGATGAAGCGCGTCGTCATCATGGAGCGGGCGTGATGACTGGGGAGTTTACGAGCCCGGACAACAATAACAAAGCAGACTGTGCCTAAAGATAATGCCATGAACACAATGTGTGGCTTACTAAAAGCCAGGCAGCGGAAGACAACGCACGTAGGCAGAGGTGGGGAATCACGGTCTTGTCTGTACCATTTTCCCCTTGTCTGAATGGAGTAGAGGAATGAAGCTGACCCCCCACTACCACTGGTTGGCGTCTGTAGCCTCTTTCACAAAGAGTTACTGCAAATTGCAGTACCAGAGTCATAACAAGCGATCAGACATTTATATGCCTCAGGCTTTTTTACGCAGAACACAGCAAAGGTGCGATAACCGCGTGGCCTTTCTCAAAGCAACACCGCATCCCGCAAAGCTTTCGTCACCTTTCTATGACATGTTTACACATGGCAGCAAAAGTCAACCATATGCCTACTTTTACAGATCGTGTGTTTTTTTTAACTTTTTTACTCTGGAATACTCTTGCACACAGGTGGTGTCCTGCCTCGATGATGGCACTGATGCTACCTGACGCTACCTTGCAGGGCAAAATATTGGTATTTGGAAGAAATGCTCGCTGCTTTATTACAGCTCAGATGCAGCTCGTTTTTGGAGAGAGCTTCCTGGCTATTTACACAGCAGGAATCAGTCAGCCACTAAATGTCATATCTAATGTACTTTCAAACCGACTGTACATGAGAGCGGCGTAAAACTGTTTCTTGTAAATGTCACCAGAAATTCCTGTTGAAATAGGTCAGGCATATTATATCTCTCTCTCTCTCTTATATATATATATATATATATATATATACATAACAAACACATGAGACAGTGCATGTGCTTCTGTCACTCATCAATGAAGAGGCCTGTCAGTACTGACACGGTTAGTGCCGATGACATTGACGGATGAAAACCAACTTCCATCAGTGCTTAGTCCAGGGGTCAGCCACCCAAAATGTTGAAAGAGCCATATAGGACAAAAAAAAACAAAAAACAAATATGTCCGGAGTCGCAAAAAAATAAAAGCCTTCTATAAAACTTATAATGAAGGAAACACATGCTGTTTGTATGCTGTCCCAGAATTGTTTGTTATTCATTCCTTTGTTGTGTGTTCACAAACGCCCCCATAGAATTTATTTAGGGATTTCCTCGCTTGATTTTTTGTTTTGGTGCATTATTTCCTCTTTTCTTAGCGTCAGTGAAGTGATCATGAATTTCCGTTTTTCGGAGGCTGTCTTTGAACGCCTCTCGAGTCGAACGAGAAGAGAGAAGGCACGCAGTCGGACACCGACGTGTCTGTGTTTGTCGAGACTGTTAAAAGCATAAATAAAGTGTACGTTTTAAAAAA